TTCATGCCTCGTGAAGCTCTAAATTTGCACTAGAGGGGATGCCACATTTGTGATGGATAGTGCGAGTAAATTAGGATAAGAACAAAGTCTGTTTGTCTGACAAATGTTTCACTTCTCAGTGGAATTTGTAAAAACCTAAAGAGAATTTCACAAACAAGACAAAGGCCTTATCTTAGAGAAAACTATTTCTTTCTATGAGGCTCTGAAGTAAAACATGCTTTTCACCCTGGTGTTGTCCATGGACCAACTGTAGTGTTCATGAATACCAAATATCAAACTCAATTCTGTGAAGAGAACATTAATTTATGTTTTATTAATCAGGATGTGGGTCGGTTTTATAAGATAACATTTGATTTGAACTCAGCAGCAGTAATCCTCCATGGTGAACGGACATAATGAGAAAGATAATATGTCTGAGTTTCTGCAGCACTGATGGTACCAGCGCATTTTATCTCACAGCTGACCAGTAAAAGTCTAAGAGTCGTTCTCTGCTCTAATGCGCAATCAACTGCTTCTTTGATTGAACGTAGACAGTACAAGTTTTTCCCATCCAGAACAGATCTAAATCTTAATTACAAATTATATATATATGTTACAACTATAGGCCAGTTTATATACAGTGGGGTCCAAAAGTCTGAGAACACTAGTCAGGATACTTCTGTTCTGAGTAAAAAGTTAAATCTTTGAAAAGTGTACGTGAATTTCAGAATATCTCGGTTTGTCCGCCTCGGCGACCGCATGCACTCGAGCTTGCACGGACTTCACAAGTTTGTGCAGAACCTGATGACCCTGATGACAATCTTCCAGAGGCCTCTTGTGATGTAACAGACTGCTTTCTCAGTCTTCAAGTGCCCCCATAAATGTTCAATGTGGTTGAGCTCAGGTGACTGTGGAGGAAAAGTCCTTGACAGGCAGGACTCTTTGGTCTTCAAGTAGTCGTTGCAAAGCGTTGATATGTGTTTGGGTCATTATCCTGCTGCAGTATGGAAGATGCAGAGTGTGTAGCATGTCTCTGAAGAATGGAGTGGTACTTCTCCTTGGTCAGGGTGTACTCAATTCAGTGTAGATGTCCAAGTCCGAGCAAAACACAATATCCCTCCCGCCATGTTTCACTGTTGGTTTGATACACTGCAGTATTCTCTCTTCTGTTTGTCTCCTTCCTTAGTTGTTACTGCCATGAATCTCAAACTTTTTTTCCAGTCATCCTGTGAAACGCTGGCGTTTCTTAGCCCCCCCCCAAGCGTTTGGCCTTGTTTCCCCTCATGAGAAGTGGCTTAGAAACTGCTCCTCATCCTCTGGGACCACTACAAGACAGCTTTCTTTTGACAGCACTTTTGCTGATTTTAGTCTTGTGTGCTTTATTTAGCAATTTCTGTGTCTGTGATGAAGTTGCCTTTTAATCTCTCACGGAACTGAGCTTGATGTATTGATCTTCTGATGGGTGTGGCCACTTTTGGTCTGTCTGATCGTGCTTTGGATGCAACTGATCCAGTTTCTGCGAAGTGTTTTAGAGTTCCAAGCACTGCCCCCTTAGACACCTTTAGTCGAGCTTTGATTTGTCACTGAGAGAAACCCCCTCTTTGCTTAGAGTAACAATTTGACTTCTGACACTTTCACTTAGTGCTGACGCCATTTTTCCCTTTACAACAATGCTACTTGAACGGGCCTCTGATGAGTAGATCAAATCCTGAGTGTTGTCTGAACGCACACTTCAATGGATGAGATAAAACTCAGGGAAATCTGACCTTTTGAACAAATGAGTTAAGTTGGTCAAGGCCCCAAATTTGCTTATGTGTTTAAATGTTTCTGAATCCTTAAACTCTGATTCTTTTTTCCAGTTTTAGGTGAAAATATTAGAGATTTTCAATGTGGTGACAGACTTTTGGACTCCCACTGTATAAATATATATATATAGTAGTTCAAATATTCTCTCCAGTAACCTTTCTCTAGTAACCAGTGACCTTTTCTTTGATATAGACATCAATCCCACTATCTATGGCCATTTTCAAAGTGGAGTTAAACTTTTTTTTCTCTCAGGCAGGGTATGTGCAACGATTTGTTCATCTTCCCTGAGAAGAGTAATCATTACTGGCATTTTGGCTATATTTATGGGGTTATCCATCTATTCCAGTGGATAGAGAGAGAGAGATGCCATGTAAGTCTGAGACAAGAATCAAACAGAGGACATTGCTTGTACATGAAATGCAGCCAGCTGAGTACACACATAGCTGGGTCCAAACATGCTGAACACAGCCTGAATGCAGAGCTGTCACATCCAGGCATACAAGGGACAAACGTGCAGCATAATTCACTTATATTTACTGTATGAAAAGCAGAATTCTTCCTTAACTCGGCTTTGGGTTTGCATGTACACCACTCATTGGAAGGTGGCTCACAGGCAGGTTTGATAAATGACCAAGGTTTTCTTGTTGTGCTTAGCTCGGTTATATATGCGGTTACACTCCGAGGGCAATGACAGCATCCTGCGTGTTCATGATCCCTGTACCCTCGTTTTCGGGATATTAAGATGATCCGTTAAGTCAGACAGAAAAGCTAAGTCACACCATCCACCTTTCATCCCCTGCCTCAATCATAGCCGGCTACTCGCTCCACTTTCCCCCCCACTTTGCTTACTCCTGTGTGAAAGAGCACATGTGCCAGTTTGGCAAGGTAGGTGGTAAATGAAACAAACAGCCATCTATTTGCACCCTACCGAGAAATACTCAGCCTCCCACCTCTCTCAAAAACTGGCTGCCTTCAGCATCAGCCCTCCCTCCACTCTTCAGCCATCAGCCATTGCTTTCTTTCACTGTGTCCTGTGTAGTCGGGTCGTGTGTGTGTGTGTGTTTGTGTTGGACGGGTGCTGTGGGCTGATTCCATTCAACACATGGCATGCAACCATAAAGCACAGCTGCAACTAGGTGGACCAGGTAGAGCTGAGAGCTGTGTTGATTTTGAACGTGGCATATTTTAATTTTACTTCAGGTTACACTTGACAGAAAAAGGGACAAGCTGGACGAACCCAACATTTCCTGGAAGGCAAAAACTGAGGACAGCAATTAACCTTAAAAGCGACATTTCCCCTGATGCGCACAGGAAAAACGTCTGATGCAACAGTGCAACTAATCATGAAATATTTTATTTGCAACATGACTTATAGCTAACTCAACTGGTGCAGGTGAACATTTCTCTTCTGAACGTGGGACATACTTTTTTTTGGAATTAAAGCCTCCATTTCTCTCATATGATGTGATATGTCTGTGTGCTTTTGGGAGAATGGGCACTTGTGTCATAACTCACATTTAGTGTAATAAAAACACAACCCACTCTAACAAGCAATAGGCTACTTGTTGTTATGCCTGTTCCACAACAGCTAATTTTAATTAGGCAATTAAATGAAAAGCAGCAGTTGCATAGAGGATAATAAGTCAGATGAATCCGTTTCAAACCCAGTTCTTAGAAGTAAGTGCATAAATCACCTGCACATAAAAAAAATGTGATTTCAGATTGGGATTGAAGTAACTAGATACAGTTCACAGAGTTGAAGTGTCTATAAAAAGACTTAAAATCCATGTATGTAAGTAAACAAGAGGGGTATATTTAACTACTGTTGCTTGGGCAGCCATTTTTTCCATCAGAAAAATAAACATGGATCCCTCTTCTTGTTACAATACAAATGATTTCAATCATGAGTCATGGTCACCACAGTACCCTATATTCAATAATGAATTAGTACATATAGTGAAATACTCCACCTTACATGACCATCTCTTCTGCTGCCACAGCACCAGCAGTTACGATAGAAACGAAGACAAATTGAGATCTGAGCAGCAGCTGTCCTGTTACGTCTGCAGTGTTCAGATGTTAGGTATAGGCTTATGAATTTTGAAGTAGCCTAGCAGCTGTTTAATATTGCAGTCTCTCATATGAAATTTACAAAATTTGCCACCAGCCTAAAGGTCGTCAGCCAGCAAAAGTCCTACTGAATGTACTCACATCAGAGCAGCAATGACAAACTAATGAACAAAAGACAAAAGACAGTTGTTAAGACTGTGACTTCTCCTCACACAAGTGAGAAATCCCAGATGAAGCCACAGAGCAAGTGGAGCAAGACTGTAATCCATCGCATCATCCAGGATCTGGAACAGTTACAGCCTAGGCGTTTAATGCTGTGCACTAAAAAATACAAAATGCAAATCAACTGTAGGGATGCAGAGAGGGAAATAAAAGCTGCGTTGGCAACTTTTTTTTCTTCAAAGAATCAAACTGCTGCAAGCAACATCCCTACTGTCTGACTCCAAGCTCCAGTGATGCAAACATTAGCTCTTCCGTCTGCAGCAACCAAAAGCAACAGTCATGCTTTAGCAACTAACTCTCAGAGTGAGGGGCATTTAGATGCAGTGATAATAATGATGAAGATGGGCAGCGACATGGTGACTGACACCATCATTATTCTCTCATTCAGATGAGCTCAATTTTTGTTCTGTGCAGAACACACACTGTACATGGAGCGCCAACCGTTGTACTTTGCCTTCACATCAAATTCAGGTAAATATGACCTAAAGGAAGAGGATGAAACAGGTTTTGGGATTTAAGAGGGGACACATCATGCTACCCTAAATCTGTGGTGGAAATCACTCTACCAGAGTGATTTCCACCATCCCCTGAACTCTCACAGTAACAGTATGAAACCTCCAGATGCTTTCCCATTGGTTTACTTTATACTCTCTCATGGAAATATATTCCATCCACCCACATTAAGTACCTAACCATGTCAGTCATAGCACACCATCAAGCTGCACCATGAAGTGAGGAGCACTGCGTAACACCCCACTGTCACTGATGTTACCTGACATCCAGTGAGTGTTTGTATCGAGTGTGTCAAGGACGAACAGCCTGATTGTGTGGGCCAGCAGTTTATATATATCCTACCTGACCTCACCTCATGTACCACAGCATGTTACAGAAGTCCACATCTCCATGTGTGCAAACTGACTCACTCTTGTAGCTCGCGCTCCAAGGCTGATATCCATAGTAGCCGGTGATCCGCAGTATCCGCTCCTCTATGGATGCGCTGTTGATGTCCTCAACTGAGCGGGAGGACTTGAGGTCCTCTTTGATGGCCTCGTCCACCACCAGGTACTTGAGCTGTCTGAGCTGAGGGCTGATGTCCGAAAGCCTTCTGGGGCTCACGTCGGGCGACTTGCGCATCCCGCTGGGAAGAAAAAGAGCAAGGGGGCGGCGGTGTTAGGCTACAAGACAAAGTGGGACCGCTTAGCAAAGGGAAAGTGAGCCTGTAAACCCTGTATAGGACTTGATAAGATAAGAGTTCTCCTTGGTTAAAGCAGGGAAAGTCAGTGTTGTTAAGGGCCCCTGCAGCGCCTCTCTTGTACACTACAGAAATCATCATCCTTCACTGGCCCTGCGTCCGAACAACAACAGTGTGAAAGACACTAAGCCAAAGTGACTGGTCCTGCAACTGTTGTATAGGCTACTATGCACCGTGCAGCCCCTATTATAGGCTTATAGGAATTTGAAACTAATGAATCGATCGTGTGTGATTTGTGGAGATGGAGAAACAACACTTGTGACAGCTCCGGGGCATCATGTATGGGCACTGGAGCACAAAACTGCGCCCAGCCTGCAGCCTCTCTCTTATATCATGCTATCGCACAGAGGAGATGAATACTTGTTATTCTGTGTCCACCAGGTGAAATAAACTAAAACCAGAGGCGTTTAATGTTGCACCAATAAAGCTCTGTTGTGTGATGTACCAGACAAAGTAGCACAATGATGACCTGAAAGCATCTCAGCTGTTATGAAACCGTCAGCATGTGAAAGGAAAACATTATTTACTAACCCATTCACACAAAATCGGTGTGTATAATTTCCCCCTGCTCTGCTATATTATCCCCAACGCAGCCCCCATATTTTCTTTATAGAATTATAATCTGCCTCCATACAATTAAAGCCCTAACATTTACAATATTATTGAAATTCACAGAGAATAAGACTTTAGCTGTAGCCTATTGAATGTTTTTAACACTTAAAGTCAATTTACTTTATCAATGCACCTGGGAGATCAAGTGCGCAACAGGTCCTGCCTCCTGTCGTTCGGCTGCGAGGCGTTTGTGAAAGTTTAAATGTCTTACATCGGCATCAAAGTAGTAGGAGGTCCAAGGTAGCACATGCAGTCCCGGTGGGGCCGTCCGACCCGGTCCCACACAGTGCCCTCTCCATCGCCGTACATCCTTCAAAGGCCACAAATCAGGGCAGCTACTGTAAATCTAAATCCCCATCAAGGCTGGCGGAGACCAGAACCGTCATCCTGCTCCTTCTCACCCTCACAGACATATGCCTGCCTGCCTGGCCACTACAGTACAGGCTGTTTTCAACACTAAAAGGCTGCGCTCTGATCTGGATGCCGCCGGCTCCTGGAGGCATTGCAACAGCACCATCTACCGGATTCACGTAATTTATTCTCTGTAAGCCTGAAATACAGAGACCACACTGTACCAGCTGTAACCCCCTTTTAACCTGAAGGATCTGAACCACCACTACAGTACCTTGACATATATCAGCCCCCAACGATTTTTATGCATGGCTATCCAGATATATAGCTACACATTAAAATTCCAATAGTTAAGGCTATTCTAGTACAATCTTTGTCGAAATGTAAGAAAAATTAATCTGCTGTCCTTCCCAGGCCCCACAAGTACCCCTAGTGGCCCCTGAATCTCAGTCGTCACATATCTGCAACTATACTGACTCATCTCTCTCCCTATGAAGTGTCTGAGTATTCTTCTGCAGCTTTGTGGCTGTAGAAGTCCTCATACTGTCACATTGAGACAGGCACAGCAAGTCTCCCTGGCTCAAGATCACACAAAAAAGAGGAAGGAGAAGGAGATGTATTGCATATTGAAGTGTGAAGGAGGGGTTCTAGCTTTTATAAGACTATCAAGCAAAAAAGGGGATGGGAATGTAATGCACAGGCACATAAAATTTTACAATTGTCTTGATGATATTGGTATCTGTCAAACAGTAAACCCCAGCTTATGTCTTTGGAAAATAAATGTCAATCGCCCCATTCAAGTTTACATTTCTTTCAGCACATCAGTCACAATACTTAAACTTTGCTCATGCTTTCCTGCCTTGTTTTCCTGGTATTTCTGTGTTTGTTAGTTTAATTTATTGTGTTAAACTTTATCATATAGAATATGCAAGAAATATTGACTGCACACTTCTAGTCTGTTTTAAGATGTTTTTCAGTAAAGGTGTAGCAACACAGCAGCGCTGTTTCCAGGCTTTTCCCAAGTAACTATCACTATAGATTTCACAGCAAATTTACAGGCCACTGGTTCCCCTCTTTGTCCATTATTCATAGTCTACTTTGCCTAAGGAGTCCACCAGCATTTTCAAGATGATGGCAAAGGCCTGTATTACAGACATTAAAGAGCAGGAATTGTTGTCTCTGTTCAATTCCACAGAATCAAAGACAATTACAGGGATGCTGTTGATTACATCCAATCAGAGCTGTGCTTCCAGTAATGGCGTAATTATGTTCACTGGTGGTGATTATGTCTCCTTGGAAATTAGAATCAAGTAAATGTATTTGGCTTGTGTTCAGAGGTGTGAACTGTACAACACAGACAGTACACAGTACACTTAGTGAGATTTGTTGTTAGGAAGAAAAGTGACTCATGCCTGTCAGCAAGGTTTTCAAATGAATGCGGATTTGAGTCTATTGAAACTTTTTCACTGTTTAGACTAAAGATAATTACATTTCATGCTCATTCTATATTTATCTATCAAGTGCGACAAAGTTTATATGAAGTGCATTATTTTCTGTCGCTTCCTAGATAAACCTAAGCAGTACAAGCAGTTCCAAGAATCAGGAAGAGTGGAGCTCTACCTTGCATAGCGTTGCCCATGGGTTCCGGGTCTGTGGTCCACTCGCTGCATTGCGTCGGCATCCTGTGGGCTCCTGACTGCGCAGAGCAGCACAAGCACAGCGACTGTTTTTTGAGGACAGGTTTTTGCATCGATCAGTGACAAGCTTCACCTCACATGTCCACACGGTGGGGTGGGCCTGTGCTTACTCAAGCAAAAAAGTGGAGTGTAGTCATCAATAAGCGGGTCAACACCTCCCATCGACAAGTCTTGGGGAGGAGAGGATCAGGTTCATCTTGCATAATGCACCTCTCAACTTCACAGCTCGGCCAAAGCCAAATCAATTCTCACTGTTCGACTTTCTGCTTTGCCAAAACTGAAGAATGTGGACACCTTTCCTGGGAGACTCAGCTCACAAACATCAAAACAGGATTGCTGATATATTCAAGTCATTCACTTCCATCCAGCACACCATCTTCCACTTCAGCAGACCTCTAATAGAGATTTAATTGGTGCCCCAATCTACACAGCACTGCACTCCTTTCTAAATATGGATCAGAGATGAAGTGAGAGCCAAAGCTCAAGGCCAAGAGACATAAAATGAACAGTGAGGACGATACATCCTCTTGGTTCACACACGAAATGGAAGATATTGATTGAAATAATCAATTGTTAACCAGATATGTTCGTTTTCTAATGATCCATTCATTTTCATAAAAGCAGTTTCAATGGATTAGAAAAACGTAGGTTTAACGAATGACATTAACATTAAATGACAGTGAGCCAACTTTCACAGTGCCATGGCCCTAAATGAAATGCAGCCATTATTAATGCTATTTAATAACACCTGTGCTTTTCCTGCTCCATGACTTATCAAAATGTCAGTCATGAAAAAAGGCATTCAAAGCTTTCTCACAGCAGAATAGGTGACATGTGAAACACATGACTAACTGAATTAAATTCAAATGTGCTTTTCCCTGAAATGACAAGTCAGAATGTCTGCAGAGAGGAAGGTCTCTGCGTGGAAACTGATGCTGTCATTTTCAGAATTTATTCAAACACTACCTGCGTTTTGACAGGAAGGTTTATTCATTTTTGTTGATTAAAAGAGCTGCTAATGCCCCATTTAAGCCTTTGCTCTAATCTAATATTCTTTATTGACATTTAATATGAATAATTTAGACAAGAGCCTGTTTGGGTATTTAATGCCAACTGGTGCTGTTACAAATGTTTTAGTTTCTCGCTGACTATGTGATGCTCTATATATTTCTATTCTCTCTCCTTCATCATAACCTCCCCCTTTAGTTCCTCTCCTTTGACCATGTACAATTCAGTGCTTGGTCAGAAATGAAAGCCCTCATGTTAGAAACCTTGAGCTCCTTTCTCAGTCATTTCCATTGTTTCTCTTATCCTCCTGTGTCCAGCTGAATACAATTTCAAAAAAAAAAAGTATGATGTAAATCCTCTCTCTTCTCACCATCAATATTTAATATGTAGCTCTCAGCCTGGAAACAGTGTAACAGGCCACTGCTGATTGGCCGATGCATGAGGAGAAGTGAAACTCTGAGCCAGTGAGAGAGGTCACATTTATTACTGTGTATTTAAGTACTTAAGAGGTTTTATAAACATTTTATTTTCTCATTACTCAGCAGTTGATCATTGGCTTTTGCATTTGTGTATGCCAACATGTGGAGCAGTTTATAGTTGTGATCCAGAGAGACACACCTATTCCTCTGTTGCTAGAGAGGGCATTATGTGGTGAAATGTTATTCCAGCTAGAAGGAAACATAACCTTTATGGAATCGGCACCCTGTAGTCCCAGGGGCCTGTGTCATTTCTTTAGGCTATATTTGTTATTCAGCTGCCATTACTAGTAAGGTTGACACACAGCTGGAGAGTAACCAGGAGAATCTCTGAGGATGAGAGGACCTGCTGATGCTATTGTGAGCCAACATCGTGAACCAGTTAGCAGCCCAGGCAAACAGCTCTAGTGGGAAGAAAAGACTGGCAGCCTCAATAGCCCCAGTTTCCACTCACATTTTCCCTTTTTTAGTTTTAGTTGACGACTGACAACGAGACAAAAATACAGTATATGATCAAAGCTCTGGGAGTAGCCATTCATAGCCCCTTCTCGTGCTGCTATTAATATTAAAAGACACACCTCTGAGATGACAGGAGGATTGACTTCAGAGGTGCTTTTCAGGTGACAGTTTCACAATAGTGAAGAAAAGTGTTGAGGAAAATATTTTTCATATCAACACAGATGATGAGCTCTACCTGAACTGGGGTCCCACTCCAATTGAAACACATCACTTTTGACTATGAGTCATTCACATCCATGTGGTTATTATAAATAGAACATGTTTTTCGGTTTGTTTTCTTTGTGGATGTGATTATTTTTCTCCATATAAAACATTATTCATTTATTAGCTTGAAAATCTGTCCACTGCTACTTACATGTAAATCCTCCTGCTTTTCTAACCCTAACCCGTCTTAGACAAGGTGTACCTCTCCTCAAATGAAAGTCTGCTTTGCATAATTGTTGCCCAATTTGCCAAAAGTGATTTGGAGTAATTGGTCACCCCATGTTGCAGAGGCAAAAATCACCACTCTGCTTCTCCAAATCCTGAAGGTCGTTGAACATTCACCACTTGGAACAAGTGACTGCTTCCTTTGAATATTTATAACCAATTATTTTCAGTGAGGTTTTGAGTGTGAAGACTTGGCGAGCTCTTCTCAGATTACTGTAAACGTATTCTGATTGGATTGAATAACCGACATGGCAATTAGATTAGCCAGTAGTGGTCCTCCATGTGTTTATAATTTGATACAAGTTGTGTTTGTCGAAAGTGCACAGCCCTTTACTCTCTCTTCTAATTGGTGGCCACAAACATTTTCTCAGCATTCTCACTCAGCTGAACGTCACACTTACATCTGATTCGCCTGGATGTCAGCTGTAGTGGGATGACAAAGTGGAAAAGACAGGAAAACGTGGGCTGTGCAGTTCCGTTCCCAGGAGTTGCTCCATCTGTTTCAGCATGACTGATGATGATGTTTCAACCTGTGATGCTTTTTGTCAGAAGTTTGAACTCCTGGGAAAACAACTGCAGATTACATCCCCTCCCCCTATCTGTTCCTCTTGTTAATATACTCATGGTTTGTCATCCAGCGCCTAATAAATGTGCATATGCAGTCTTTATATCGAGCCAAGTGTGAGTCCACACTGCAGAGATGAAGGTTTCACTGCAGAGTGGTTGCAAGAGAGAGAATGCCTCTGGCTGCAGCATCCACTTGCCACTTCCTCTCTTCTCTCCTTCCTTCTTCTGGTCCTGTCAGTTTGTCTCACCTCTTATACATTCA